TGTAACTGTGCTTCCTGCATGCATAGAAGAAACTGAGGGTACACCTCCAAATAATAAGTGTGTGAGGTTATAAGTAATTTTTAATATTCTTTTTCTGATTGGTATTTTCTAACTTTCCACATTTAATGAGTTCTTATCAATTGTTAATGAGAAAAATCATTTTTAGTGGTTTCCTAGAAATGCACTGATTTACACTCCAGTCAGCGGTGCATTTAGGTGTTTGCTCATATATTCATGGAATACGCTCAGACGCATACTCAGACTAAAGGTACATTCTAGAAGCTGAGCCACAGGCATAAACCCTAATGGAGTTGCAGGTTCGAGAGATGGAGAACAAAGCAAGAGAGCAGAGCTGGGAGGATCTGCCCAGCCCTGCCCTGCGGCTGAACCTACGGAGGGAGCAGGGTGAGGGAGGGTGCGGAGAGGGAGAGCTGGGGAGGGGAGCTACCCCTGCGACAGGCTCCGGGAGGGCTGTTCTGAGGAGGTGAGCAAAGAGGAGAAACCTGAGCAGGGTGAGGAGCAGGTCACCACACATCTGGGCAAGCATTTCCGACAGAGGCAGCAGCACCCTGAAGGCCAGAGCGTGTGGGAGGGTGAACAGCAAGAAGGCAAGAAAAACAGCAAAAGCAAGATGGCAGAAGGTGGGGTCTGGCACACCGAGGGAGGGCATGAGTAGCAGCATCCTGGAGAACCTTTTGGGCCATAGTAGGAAGTTTGGGTTTTCTCCTGGGTGTAATTGCAGTGGGACCAGTGGAGGATTTTGTGCAGAAGAACAGGATCCAATTTCATTCCCCCAGACACCATGACTCTGGGTTGAGTCATGATGCTGGGCCTGAGCTGGAGTGCCCTCGATCATGCCAGGCTGGCAGCACTGGCCCCTACACTTGCCAATTTCATAAGCAACCATGAGGGCATCTGGGGGGTAGAATCTTATATTTCTCCTCAGGGCCCCTGGTCAACAAGGATGCTTAGACAGTTCATCTCTCAGTAGATCTGGACATTTCTGAAAAAGGAGAACCAGGCCAAGAGGGATGACTAAAGATACGTCATCCCCCATCCCTCCCCAGGCCAGAAATCATCCTACCAATTGGCCTTGGTTCCAACCAAAATGTTGACCAGTTAGTGGCTAAACAGAGAAAGGAAAATAAGAATCACTGACTCATTCAATCACCTACCCTTACTTTATGTCCAGCCTAGAGCTCACACTTTCCCCAAAATATGGATCAGAAGTTTTCCTGCATCCAGCGCCCCATGTGATGAAGGAGCAATATGTGGGATCTCACATCTTTTCTCAGGGTGAGGAGATCACTAATGGATTTCTGTGACTTACTTCCTCCTGCATTCCAATGTGAGACCCCTGTATTTACATGGAAGGGGGGATTCTATGTTTTCCCTACGAAATCTTTTAAAAATCATTACCACCACTTGTACGATAAAAAATTAATCAAAATTTGTTCTTAAAATTATTCTTCTAAATTGAGGGGCCTGTTCCAGAGGTCCACATCTGGTATTCCCCAATTAAGGGAGGTATCTGCCTCTCCTGGTACCATAGTCCCATTTCTCTGGGTACTGCTTCCTCAGTCCGTGTTACCTCGCTTAAGAAAGCTGTCCTTTTGTACCCAGAAAGCCCCCTTGGGGTGCTGGAGGAGAGGGCAACTGGGAGCTGGGCCCTGGGGACAGTGTGATGTTAGTCTTGTGCTTTCCTAGAGGTCAGACACTAGGGTCCATCCCCTCTAAGCAAATAGATCAGAGATGAATTTGTGATTTCCATCATCCTCACCCAAAGCCAGAGCTGGCAGGAAGACCATGTTGTTGGGATGGGGGAGAGGGAGGTCCTTCTGGGGGAGACAGCTCAGGAGTTCAGTCAGTGTCCAAAGGCCCAGGGACAACCTGGTTTAGTAACTGTGAAGGCACTAGAAAGGACATACCAGGGTGATTAGAGGTGCTAGGATTCCCAGACACCCGAAAATCCATCTGTCCCAAGTTAAGATACATGATAAGAAAAGGACATCCCCAAAAGAGCCCTCAGGGCGCAGTGCCACCAGAAAAGACAACCCAGGATCCATGGTGATTGGCATGGACGGATCTAGGAAGTGAAATCCAAAGCTGACCGTGGACATCTGACCGGCCCGGGCCCCCAGGGTCTCACGAAAGCCACAGCCCAGCCCGAGACAGCACAACAACACCGAGGCAGCCCGGGCACACAGCCCGAAGGCTTTCCTTCCCTTTCCACCCTGACTGCCTCAACCAAGGGCAGCGGGAGCACGCCCGGGGCGGTATGCGGGCACGCGCCTCTGTGAGCCCCTGAACTCTGGAGGCGGACGCCGCGGCTCTGTCCCGGTGCTCGGAATGCCGCCCGGCACGTGGCAGACACTTACCAGTGTTCGCTCCACATAGAAAGCACAGGGAACAGTGGAAGGGATGGTAGACACACTCCGGTGGCTCCTTTCTCGACCCATTTCGTATCCAAAGGCCGCACGGCACTTCCGGGCAGAGCTCATGGGCCGGAATCCATTGCTTACCAGCATGGCCGCCACTGCCGGGCAGAAGGCCACGCCCACGGTGGGGGGCGGGGCCTGTACCTTCAGAACCAATCACCTTCCCAAAGACCCGAGCTGTCCTCGTGCTGCTGAGGAAGGACACGCCCTTCGGACGCAGGGCTACCCTCGGAGACCCGCCACAAAGCCAAGGCCAGGAGGCAGGAAGTTGACCACCACTTGGCTGCAGGGAAACTTGGACAAAGCTGGGTCTCTGTCCATCTGAGCTGGTGGCTTGTCCCTGGATTCTAATGCCATAATGAGCACAGGCGCTCCTCACTAGCCAGGCGGCTAAAGGCATCACCGTGTTTGCTACAGGCCTGAGCAGGGAGGGACTGGGGGAGGGGGAGGCAAACTGTGAATACGCCTATCAGCATCACACCTGAGGCCTGAACTTTAGCCCTGGGCCTCCTGCCCCTCCCTGTGGGGACCAGAACTGGTGGCTGGATGAGGCCCCGCTGAGTGCAAAGCCAAGGAGCAGCTGTGGACCTTCAGCAATGCACCGTCCCCGGAGGAAGAGAGGGGAGAGCTCGCGGTTGCAGGCAGGGAAATGCAGCCCTAAGTTTCAGTGTCTGCTCCAAGCGACTTCCTTATCCCCAGGGGACACCTCCCCTCCTATCTCAAAAACGGTTAAGGTATGTGAGGTGAGATAAATTAGGAAATAGATAGCACATTTAATAAGCATTTTTTTTTTATCCCAACATTAGATTCCTAAACAGACCCTCAGCCAGGCTCCCTCCACGAGATTAGTGCGGAACCTACTAGAAACAAAAGGATCAGTTGCATACACCCTGCTCTTTTGCCACCAAGCCACATGCTCTAGGAACAGCTTCTGTCTCCCTGTTTCCATGACTAGGAAAGGGGCTCCAGGCTGGAAAGGGAAGGATGAGACCCTGCACCAATACCAAACCCATCCTAGGCAGAACTCTGGGAATTTGGGGCTACCTCCTGCACCCACTGATATGTTCCAGGGCTGACCCATCCCCTTCGGTGACCTTCACCACCCTCAGGCTCACCAAATATATACAATATATTTTAACTCAGCATGCTCTCCCTCGAGCTGCTCCACTAAGGGACCCAAGGACAAAACTGCCCAGCTGGAGATGGGCAAAGGTGTCCTGAGGGCCTGCCCCACACCTGCCATATTTAGGCCTGAGGAGATCACCACAAAAGGCAATGAAGCAGTTCTAGCCCAGGGAGTGCATAGAGTGTGTGGAGACAGGAGACCCAAGCTACAAGGGTATCCTGGAGGAGGCAGCAATGTGGAGTGCCCTGGGCCACATGGCCCTAATGAGCCTAGCCTAGCAGGACTGATGGCAGAGATCCATACAGGCTGGGCAGGCAAGGGCACATCCTGGAAGGAGTAGGCCGTGAATTTCCGGCCTCTGGAAACCAGGCCAGGACAAGGGACAGGGGCAGCAGGCCGCAGACAAAAGTGATAGGGCATCCTGCTGGTGGGGTGGAGGGGGTCATTAGATCTTAAAGACTGGGGGTTCCCCCTGCCCCCATCCCACACGGCTCCTGCCTTACATTGAACACACCAAGCCCTCTTCCTCATCTACAACCGAGTGTGTGCTCTCTCTTCTCTCTGGAATTTTATCCCTGACTACCTGCTAGTCATGCACTTGGTAGCAGATCACCACCCCCTCCCCTTCCTCAGGCATGTTTTCCACCACCACCCCCGACCCCAGACCTGACCTAGTCTCTGACCCACAGCGACAGGGACAGTGAGACACTCACCTCAAATTTTAAGGAGGCACCAAAAAACTCAACAATCAAGGTAAGTGCAACATTTTCAAAAATCACAATTGACGTGAAAAAAAAATTGGTATGAGCAAAAATCTCAGAATTCTCAGTAGAAACAGGGTCTGAGCTGGCACAGCACGAGCCCGCGTCAGCTGCCAAACCCCCATCTCTTCACACCGTCATGGCACTGAGCCCTGTGTCCTCGCGGGGACATTCCACACTCGCTGGACTGATGGCTGGATTAGTCTCTGTGCCCACAAAGGCAAAAGCAGCGTACTTCACCAGCCCTCACGCACCTGGCCTCGGCGAAGGGGTGCCAGGAACCCCAGAATGAGCACCACAGGTGGGACAAAGCCCCCAAAGCCGTGCTGTGACCTGTTCCTTTCTGCTCCAAGGGCATGACAGCCTCCAGGCTCCCATTCCACCCAGGGCCCCCCACCCCCACCCCCTGCAGCCCTTTGCTGTCATTTGCAGGATAATATCTGACCGGATAGATGAAGTGAAGCCTCAGGAGAACACAATCAGGCACATCCAGAGAAAATGTGTGACCGATGTCCTGTGGGTCCTGAGACTTCTCTCCACCTTTCCAGAGGTCCACCGCCTAACGGCCGTGGGAGGACACTGTGTCCCGCCGCTCCAGACACCTGGTCGCCTGGGCTCCTGCTGCTGGGGAGCCAGTTGGGATCCATTCCAAGGCCGTCACTCTGTCCACTTCTTCACGGAGAACGTTTCTATTTTGACGAAGTGTCGTTTGAGGCTGCTCTGGAATCACAGTGTATAGGTTTGCCTGAAACATGCTAAAATTCAGACAACAGCTAAATAAAAATTCCCAAATAACCATGCTCTATTTTTGCATTTTTACAAGTTCTTTGAAAGGGAAAAGGGCGGGGGGTAGGAGGGTGGAGATTAAGAAATGCAGAGTTTTTCCGTGTTCTTACCTGATGTCCCAGTTGCAAGAGAAATAGGAAGCTGGGGATGGCGTGAGCAATGGGGATACCCACACAGCACTGGGCATCCCATGAGGGCCACGGACACACCTCCGTCCACTGACACCGCTGCTCTGCGGGTGGCCGTTGTATGCACCTGCCTTTGCCTCTGGTCTGAGGAAGTGCTGTGCTTTCCTTCCTGGGAGGATGGAAAAGGGGAGAAGTATCCCAGTTTTCACCATGCACACCCCTGGCTCCTGGAAGGATGCCCAGCTAGAGAGGTACCCAAGCGCGGCCCCTGATGCTGGCAGCCCAGCCCTGCTGGCTTCTAGGGACCCAGGCCAAGCCGGAAACTAGCCGGTTCATTGTTCAGGGGAGGGGATGGACGCAGGTGGGGGAAGCAACACGCTGTTGTGATTCTTTGTTAAAGACTCACAAGCCCTGCCAAAGGGTCAGTCACCCTTTCAGAAAGGACATTAGGTGCCATTTTCCTCCTGGAAGCCCCATAAATCCCCACATCTCCTCAATATACAATTCAAAAAAGGCCTCAAAATTGCCATTGCTGTCATGCTAAGCACTGGAAAGTTCTGCTTGACCTTTTATTAACATTTTTCTAAACCAATATGTTTTTTTTTTTCCTCAAGCACCCTGAGGAATTATGAAAAATACTTTTTTCTGTAGTTTATCCCATATGCACTTAATAGGCTCACAAATATAATACCATTATAAAAAAGAAAAACTGCCAACTCTGCTAAAAAAATTGTCATAACACTAAATTATTATATAAATATAAAAGGAGTGTGTCTGTAAAATATTCACTCAATGAACATCCCAAGGTGATGGTTTTGCTATGTTGTTTTTATTCCTGAGAGATCCATAATGCATTTGGATATGCCACATGTCACCACATGAATCAGGCTCTTAATGCATGTGCTTTTTAGAAGCAGGGATGTCTTCCCAATAGAATGCGCTATAAAAAAATGTCGAGATCTGGCTGCTTTGTCTGATAGGCATAATTTAATGTCTTGCTTATAATACTGCATCTTAAGGAAAAATACACACTGTCCTATGTAGTTATTTACAATATATTGCTAAGTCTATGCAAATATGTTTCCCCGAGCCTGGGATTATATAGCAAAGGTCAACAATGTTTGAAATATTTTGAAGCATATTCCCAATATGCTTAGTGTATGGTGCTAATGTCCAATATATGCACATATATCTTAATATATTTCCAGATATTTCTGTGCATTGTTCTCTCCATAGCTTCCCACAGAATACTATTAGAGGAATGTTTTCTTCTGAGAAAAGACAAACATCGCCTATCCATCTTGGAAAAATTTATTAAGGTGGCTAATTATACGGTCCTTAATACTGCATTAGTATGGAGGTTGCTCAGTGCCACACTGCGGAAGAGGGAAAGATAGAAGCCAGTTCGGTAATACTGAAACCAGAGATTCAACACACACAGAAAACCAGCACACACCTATATGATCTTATTTTTCTATCACAGGTTTCCAAAGCGCGGCAGTTCAACTTGGGCATTCCAGGTGTGCGTACGTGAAAATACACACACGCACACACACACAGGTTTGTGATTAGACATATGTAAAAATGAAGATTACAAACCATGCATATTACTTCTCACTCCCAAATATTGCAAATTCTGTGCTTATTTTTCTGAGGGGACTTTTGTGATCACATTTCATTCAGGTCGCTTTCTTTTTTTTTTTTTTTTTTAAAGATTGTATTTATCAGGGTGCCTGGGTGGCTCAGTGGGTTAATGCCTCTGCCTTCAGCTCAGGTCATGATCCCGGGGTCCTGGGATCGAGCCCTGCATTGGGCTCTCTGCTCAGCAGGGAGCTTGCTTCCCTTCCTCTCTCTCTGCCTGCCTCTCTGCCTACTTGTGATCTCTGTCTGTCAAATAAATAAATAAAATCTTTTTTAAAAAATAAATAAATAAATAAAGATTTTATTTATTTACTCGACAGACAGAGATCACAAGTAGGCAGAGAGCCCAATGCGGGGCTTGATCCCAGGACCCTGGGATCATGACCTGAGCCGAAGGCAGAGGCTTTAACCCATCAAGCCACCCAGGCACCCCTCAGGTTGCTTTCTTAAGGAAAGCAGGACAGGATGAGGGGAAGGGTCATAAAAACCAGACCTCCAGCATCCAAGCCTTGCCCAGAAGCAAATGTGAAAGAGAGACTGTAACAGAGGATGTGAGATCAGGGTCCTCAACTTCATCTTTTATTCCAAATCGCTCTGTTCCCTTATGTTCTCCAGTCATTGGGTTCAACCAAATTAAAGAAGACTACACAGTCCACCCAGATGTCAAAGCAAGCAGCTTATGCATTAAGAAGAGGTCCCTTCCAGAAAAAGATGTCCATCCCCAGTATGTGAACCAAACCAGACCCATCAGCCAGCTCTTCATTTCTGCACCATTGTGATACTTAGTAGGACCATATCACTCCAGAGGTCACTCTGTCAGCTTCAGGTCCTCCTGGTCTTTAGGCTCCTCAACCCCAAAGCAATACCCTTCCAACCAATCCACTTTTAAGACACTACAAATATCATCCACTTTCAAGGACCTTGAAGTATGCCTAGATGTCCAGATCAGCATCTTTTTTTTTTTTTTAAGAGCAGGAGGTGGGGGGAGGGGTAGAAGGAGAGGGAGATAGAGAATCTCAGGCAGGCTCCATGCCCAACACAGAGCCCCATGCAGGGCTCGATCTCACAACCCTGAGATCATGACCTGAGCTGAAATCAAGAGTCAGCTTCTTAACTGACTGAGCTATACAGGCATCCGTAGATCAGCACCTTTTATGAGAATCCTTTTCTGTATTATCTATCCAGCCAACCACATGGCCCACCTGATGTGGCCTCTGGACAAAAAGGGCCAATGCTGCAAAATCAGCAAAAGCTGATTTTTTTTCAACTAACGCCCATCAACAGAAGAAACAACTTATCCAGAACCACCCTGAACACAGACTTCTCACAGAAGAACCATTGCAGACACAGAACGTAGATCTCCTCATGCAAAGGCACACTCCCTTATTTTCTCCATAAGGGAACCTCATTAACAGCTTCATTCCAAATGACTTTCTTGCTTGACTGTCCGTAGGGTCCCATGATAAGTAAGGATCCCATATGCATGAGGGGAGTCAGGAAGACAGGACATGCATACACGTGTGCCCTGAGGACTGTCCCTGTATCCTGCTAAAACCACACACTGGCTCTCGTGGAGCATTCCAGAGGTTTTAAGGAAGGGTTTTCATGCAGGAAGGCCAAGAGAGCCATGCACATCTTTGTTCTCCCACTGGAAATTCAACTGTATATAAGGAAGAGCGAATGTTAAATCATTTAAAGAGAGATATTTTTCATAGTTTCCAGTACATAAATGTGCTCCAGTACATGTTATTGTAAAATAGTGTTTCTACTTACATTCTTATACATCTGTTGTGTTTACTCATCCTCTAGTTCTGACTTTCAGAAATAGCAATAAATCTATTTTTTAATCCCCTCTCCTGATGACTGATTATTCATCGCTAAAAGGGATGGAGGGAGGTCCACGTGAGGAGTGACCCACTCTCTAGAATATCTTACTCTCGCAAGATAAACAGGGTCCGGGGAGACTCCTCTTCTGTCCCAGAGAGTTTATGCAAACTAAGTAAGAGTTGGTGGCAGCTCAAATAAATATAAATTACCCTCCAGTGGACACTCAAACCACTTGTTACAGTCAATCAACAAAGAGGAGCCAATGATGACATCTACACAAACAATACAATTCATTTTTATACCACATCCCTAATATGAAGATCACAAATGGTTTCGTGGAGTCAGTCATCACTGAGCTAAACCCAATAGGATGGGAAGTCAACCAGATAGAAGGAGGAGGAAGAGGAGCCTCCACTTTTGGAAAGAGGGGAAAAGTTGCCCAGGCAGGTGCCTACGGGGATGTGTTAGCCAGGATAGGATAGTTCTGTGCTGCTGTAACAAACAACCCCAGAATTTCAGTGGTTTAACACAGCAATGTTACTTTCCCGCTCTCACAAAACCCACTGAGAGTCTGGGAGGATCCCAGGACAGATGTGCTACATCCCATGTGACTCAGCGGTCCAGCCTACATCTCAGCATAGGTTTCTATGAGCAGAGGAAGCCAGAGAGGTCATGATGAGCCACACACAGGCTCTTCTGTGCTTTTACCTGGAAGCAGCCCTTTGCCCCAGCAGAAGACACACCCTCTGTGTTTGCAAGGAGGCTGGGAATTTTGGGAGAATGGAGAGGAATGCTTGGTGGACATCACTGTCTCTACCACTGCTAACAAATGATTTCACAGAAAATCAATCATTGTAGAAGGAAGACAGCTCCTAAGCAGAACATATAATGAAGGTCATTCCAAGCACTTTTTCTAAAAAACTGTTTCCTCCCTTTGTCTCCAACTAAACTATGCTTTGCTTAACTGGATTCCTTGGCCTAAGAGATTGCAGCAAAGTCATTTCCTCATCTATGATATGGGGGTAACAATGCTAGTCTAATGGGCTACCATAAAGATCTATGACTTCATGAATTTTTTTAAAGATTTTATTTATTTATTTGAGAGAGAGTATAAGCAGAGGGAGGGGCAGAGGGACAAGGAGACTCCCTGCTGAGCACAGAATCCACCACGGGGCTCGATCCCAGGACCCAAGATCAAGACCTGAACTGAAATCAGATGCTTAGCGGACTGAGCCACCAGTGCCCCTAAGGCTTCATGAATTTTAAACTGTGTACTGTGAGTGCACACATACAGGTTAGTAGAAATGACATCCACAACCAGCGTTTTAGCATGTTGGGACATGACCTGGTTCAATGACTAGAACCATGGCACCCAGAGTAGTCACCAAATGGTTCTATCTGATGTTTACCTAGTTGCTTTGGAAACCACATTGCTTTTAATGCCCCCTGTATTCCCATTTGCTTTAACCTCTCCTCCTCCATCTCCTGTATGTAAGTTCTTACCAAGTTTCAGAAACTCTGGGTTCTATATACTTGATCCCGCAGCAGAACAGCTAGATTATTGGCCAGAATTTTGCCTTTTAGATGAATTCCAACAGTTCCCCGGGATACCTTGCAGCTCAGATCCCCTGCTGGGTTCTTCGATTTGCACTTAGCAACTGGCTCATTTAGTTAGTTTTCTCACACTGGGAAGGTACTTCTAATGAATATGTGAGAAGGATACGGGGTCTGGCTCTTTTTCCAAAGGTCTAATGCTCATTTTTCTCACTGGGTTTTTGGGGGGTTTTGTTTTTTGCTTAGCCATGTATTACAAACTATCCTTCCCCAAAGCTTCTTGATACCTTATCATCTCTAGGTCACATCAGAAATGACCGATTGCAAACAAAACTACCCTGAGACTCGACAAAAGGGAAAAAATGAGGTGGAACCTCTCTCACTGATTCAGTGGAGATGGCAAGGCATGAAAGAGTGTAAGTATCTTGACTTTGACCTTGGGTTCCAGTCTTAACTCCACTATTTGCTAACTTGGTCTTGAGCCAATGGTGCCCTTTCTTTGGCCCCTCCGGGCAGGGCAAAAGAGCGGTATAGGGGAGGGTTCCACAAAAAACATGGCAAAGACTGTGGCTTGGTGAGTATGGAGCTCTCAGTGAAATCCAGTTCTCCTACTCAAACCTCTGGTGACACACTCACCCTTGGGCATGCAAAGTGCAGTAAGACTGTGCCCCCGTCTGAGTGTCACAGAGACACTGGTTCAGGGCATATCTGTGAATTGTCTCTTCTTTACACCTCTCTGTAGGTAAAAGGGAGATGCTTCCAGAAAGGTGCCCTTGTGGCTTAACTTCTGACCCAAGAAGCACCCCAACAGGGCAGTCCCTTCCAACCATGGGTTTTCCTGCCCAACACTCACAGTCGGAATCTGTCCATTGCTGTTGCTGCCTCCTATATCACTAAGATCAGAATTTGTATTGAATCATGGGTCCGTTCTCAGAACATACCACCCTATGCCCAGTTTGGCTTGCTTACTTAACCAGTCCACTGGCTATTTCAACCAAATTACAAAAAACCACAAAGATAAAATAATGAGAAATACTAATTTGTCACTGCAATCCTGGCAGGCAGGGCCTCTGTTTTGCAAGCAGTTTAAATATTATACTTTTGTGCTTTCCTAAACTAATTTAGCCTACTAATTTTCTATAATTACCTGCATGCTCTTAGCTTGCGCTGGTCAGATGAGTTCTGAGACACTTATATAACCAGCATTAAAAAGATGCATTTAGCAGCTTGGATTGTTAAAGTAACAAAGCCTATAGAATCCGGAGGTTATTGTATTCTCCCAAAAGTACTTAAATAATAGCCTAAAATCTGAAGAATTACTTTAATACTTCAATAAAAATAACCCAATTCAAAACATTTTCAAGGAAACAGAGTTCTTTGCTCTAGGCTACCGAGTAATGGCTGAGAGAAAGTATATAGCCTGTCACTTCTGATTAGAGAACTGTGCCTCTGTGCTTTGAATGAGGGGCATGTCTGGTAATAGGAAGTGCAGATATTAAAGTTAATAAAATAATGTGGAATACGATATATATGAAACTTGACCAAGTATAGCACAGAATGTAACATACATTACCCTGTTCAGTCAACTCCTGTGGCCCGGCATCTAATGACAAGCTTAATTTCTGTTTCCAATGAGGGTACAGCTAAAAATACAATTTCCAGATTAGACAAATATTTTATCCAACTCCCTAACAAATGTAACCGGGAATGGCTGACATGTCTACACAGATGCCCAGCGACCATGAGAGGGAATTACTAGGATTGCAAACTGCTCAGCCTGAAAAGTCCATGAAACCTCATCATCTTTGAGGTCATTATAAATAATTAGTTGCAAACACGGCGATGTGGCAGCTTCACCACTGGAAAAGGACAGGGGCGCCTCCATTTCTCTCCCGCCCTGGGAGGCTCTTGGCTCCCTCTCGACACAATCAGGTCTCCCCAAACAACTGGGCACCAAGCCCCCTGCACACCCATGATTACATCTTTAATCTCAAACCCCAACGCCAACTGTAATGGTTTTGTTTTTCGATACATTAACCTTCAACTTGTATTTTCACTATTAAATAACCAGCTTGAGAGCCTCCTGGAATTTTTTTTCTTCCCAGTCACCTACACGAAACCATGTGGTACCCATGATGGGACCCTCTTAAGGGATTTAAAAGCAATTCAATGAGCTAATCTCAGTAAACCCAGAATTAAAGTTCTTGTTTCCATATTTCACTTTCAAAATATTTAGAACTTTGACAGATATGACATTATGTTTTCATTAAAACAGCTGATTTCAAAATGCTGCACTGTGCAGAAACGCCATAAACAGTTTATGATGAACTGCCACACTCTTAATTAAAACAATAAATCCAGCACGCAATATTTGTACAGCCTCTGGTCTGACCTTTGCCTCTTGCTATCCAGCACCAAGCCGCGGCTGCGTTCCCAACGCCAGACGTGGAAGGTTTTAAAACATGATCTGAAAGGCACTAAAGATAAAATAAGAGAAAACGTACCATTAGTCTTCGCAGTTATGATTAATTCAGTTCATATTTTACAATCTGGTTATGGAGTAAAACTGCAGACTTTACATCAAGTATTTGCCATTCACTCTACCTAATGTATAAAAATGCCTGATATTTTAGAAAATGGCACCGAGCTAATTCACCGCAACCCCGCTGAAGGACAGGCATTGAAATCATAAACACGGAGAGTGATGAGCTCTCCGTCTGAAGTGACGAACAGAACTCACTCGGGTGGACGGTCAGCCTCGGACGATAAATATGCCGCTCGCAGCCCTGTCTCCCATGCCACTCTCGTCTCCATGCTGCTAGATTTCAGATTAAAATATTCCCTTAAATCTCTCCCATCTGCTGCTGGAGCAAGCAGCGAGGGTGTTAATTACCAAACAGGAATAACAGTAAATTTGTGGTACTGGCCCGGAGTCACCAAGTCAACCCCAGACCCCAGCAGCGTCAAGGCTGGAAACTGTCCTGAGCTGGGTCGCAGAGCACCCCATATTGAGAGGGAAGCAGGGTGGCTGGGCGACCCCATTCTGCAGCTCTGATTCAACGGACATACATCCAGCCAGCCACCTGGCTCCGTAAGATAATAGCCCCAGCCACAGCAGGAGCAGAGACTCTCCGTAGGAAAGGGAGGGTATGTCCAAGCTCCCCTGTGGTTATAGGGACTAACCACACGGTGCCTGCTGCAGGCTGGTCCCCGAAAACCTCCCATCATACCTGACCCAAGCACAGGTGTCCAGTCCTTTTCTCTGGGCCTTCCCACCCCAACCCCCCCACACCCTGTACCTATTTACATATGACAAACGCATGCGTGTGGCACATGGACACGTTCAGAGCTGGGTCTAGCAAAGCCTGGGAGGCTGGGCAACAACCAAGTGGATGGCAATGAGCTGGACTCATTGTTGGTCCCAGGGTCTGGGTGTGGGGGCAGCTGGGAGGGGGGTGTTGGAGGTGCAACCCTGTTAGTGGTACCCTGCTTGGTACCCATGCAGGTCCTTGTTGGAGCTGCAGGTAGAGCCCACCAGAGTTCTAGAAAGATGGAGAAGGAAGCCATGCTGGCCAGAGGAGGCCATGCAGGCTCTTAATCCAGGACCTACATCTATTCTGTCCACGTCAAAAGGAGTAGAATACCCAGTGAGGCACGTCTTACTGTGAGGGAAAGACCCCGCCCTACCTAGGGGCTCTGGCTTTCACCCACCTCTGTAGCCTCATCTTGCCTGCCTTCTCCCCTCTCCAGACACCCGACTTCCCACTAAGGGTCCCTTCCAGCCCACACAGCCTTGTGGACTCACAGCTCTGGCCTGTGTTCCAGCACTGGAGGGAACCAAAGTTGCTTACCCTACTCATGGAGACTCCAAAGGTTACCTCCAGGGAGATATAGGCATATCCCACTCCCAGAGCCTTCTTCAGTCCTTCGTGGTTGGGGAATTCTGTCCCAGTTGTCCCAGCAGGGGAAGGGCTCTACAGAAAAGCTGGGCCCTCGGGGCGTTGGGGGCGGGGGAGGTGAGTCTCTGAGTACAAAGCAGGATTTCTGTGCCCCGCCCCCAAGCCCTGCCTCAGGACCAGTCCTGCCCTCCTCAGAAGCCATCACTCAGTGCCTTTGCCCTTTGAGTCAAACATCATAGTTGAAGTGGGTTCCAACCACCTTTTTACCAAGCAGCGTACCCTAACAGGGTTGCACCTCTAACACCCTCCCAGCTGCCCCCACACCCAGACCTTGGGACCAGGAAGATCAGCCCCAGACCCTGGGCACCTGCTATCCCCTCCACTAGTACCATGCACCACACCGTCCAGGTGGCCAGGCCACCCTGGCTGACAAAGGCACACTATGTCTTTAGGGTGTCCTTATGGTCACATTTGGCCCCCACCACTGTTCTTGTGAATACACCATTTTTCAGAAGACAGAGGTCTGGAGGAATGAAGTCTCTACCTTAAAATCATGCAAGCCAGTGAATAGCACCATGGAATTAAAATCCACTTCCTCTGCCTTAGGGCTAGCGCTTCCTCAGGAAGCACTCTGTCCTCCTTTGGACAGACTCTAAGACTCTCAAATGGAGGCCCATGGATATATCCTCAGGGGGTCCACAATTGCTTGGGGTCATTTTAATTTTTTTTTTTTTTTACCATTTTACATTGGTGAAAATCCATCTAAAAGACACAATGAGTGTAAACATGTTCCAGATCAGGTAGGTGGCCAACCACCGTGTGATTTCCATGCCAGGTTTCGTGTTTTGCATCCCGTAGGTATCAAAGCACACTTCTGCCGTCATCTAAGACTGAAGCGTTGGAGGCTGAGGGAGCAATGCAGCTGAGGAAAGGCCAACTGAATTTCTAGAATTCTGTTCATGGGAGTGCAAGCCCTGAGTGACTCCGACCTCGGTGTGGGGGAAGGGGGCGTGTGCTGTGACAGACTGACCTGGGACCCATCAGGAGAATGCAGGGCATAGCATATAACACGTCCACGCTGCTCTCCACGGAATCACCTCTCAATCCCCCAGCCGGACACCTGCTATCTTCACTCTCTGGTTTCTCTGATCTGCTACAGCTCTCTAGGTTTCTTTCCATCCTACGCCCTCCCTCTGGATCCATACCCCATACTGGGGTGTGGGACAGGGTCAGATCTTCCAGATGCTTTATTAGTTTGAGATTTTAGATAGCTCAGATTCTTCAGACCGTCACAGTGAACCTTTCTTAATCTTGGCAGATCTGAAAGCATAACTTTCATGCGTTGTTAGGCAAATCACGTATCTGCTCTTTATTGGTTCTTCAACAAGGAATGAGGGAGGGAAGGGAAGAAAGGGGTCCAGAAAAGAAGGAATCCCTGTCCTGGCACCAGTAATGGTTTGAACAGATGAAAAATGGTGGAAAAGTTCAGCCAACCCTGCTCCCAGCCCACCCCACTGCCAAGACATGTAAGCGTGCCCGTCTGCAAAGAACCTGGGTTATATGGTCAGTTCTAGACCCATGTTGCAAGTTGTGATTTAGTGTCAGCAAAACAACATCATCCTTTCCATGAAGTGAATGTCACTATTTTGAATTTCATTGGTTTTATCATTTTGTTTGTATTTTTTTAAAGATTTTATTTATTTTTTTGACAGACAGAGATCACATGTAGGCAGAGAGGCAGGCAGAGAGAGAGAGAGAGAGAGAGGAGGAAGCAGGCTCCCCACTGAGCAGAGAGCCCGATGCGGGGCTCGATCCCAGGATCCTGAGATCATGACCTGAGCCGAAGGCAGAGGCTTTAACCCACTGAGCCACCCAGGTGCCCCTCATTTTGTTTGTATTTAACTTGTATATGAGTTGTCTACAAGTTATAAGCATATGGAGTTTGACCTACTTCTCTAAGATGTGGAATCAAGAATATTATGATCTTTATCCATCGAGTGGTCATAAGAATCAAAGAAAAGCACGTGAGGAAAGCACTTCACACGGTGCCTGGCCCCAGGGGAGAACTCAATAAATGTCACTAAATCTTGTAATGTTATAATAATAAATACTGATGCAAAAAATAATTTAAGTTACTACTGAGGGTCTGCAATGTTGTTTTATTGTTTTCTTAAGAAGCTACACTAATCAAACTTAAGGAATATTGAGCTGAATTGCATGTCCCCAAAATTCTCATGTTTAAGTCCCAGCGTCTGGTACCTCCCAGCGTGACCATATTTGGAGATAGGGTCCTTAAAGAGGTTATTATGTTATAATGGTTTTTTTTTAAAGATTTTATTTATTTTTTGACAGAAAGAGATCACAAGTAGGCAGAGAGGCAGGCAGAGAGAGAGAGGAAGGGAAGCAGGCTCCATGCTGAGCAGAGAGCCCGATGCGGGGCTCGATCCCAGGACCCCGGGACCACGACTGGAACCGAAGGCAGAGGCTTTAACCCACTGAGCCACCCAGGAGCCCCGTTATAATGAATTCTTAATGGTGGGCCCTAATCCAATGTGACGGCTGTCCTTATAAAAAGAAATTAGGACACAGACACGCATAGAGAGGAGACCACGTGAGGACAGCCACCACACGCTAAAGAGAGAGGTCGCTGAAGAAGTCACCCCCTGCCAACACCTTCACCCCGGACTTCCAGCCTCAAGGACTGTGAACAATAGATTCACAAACTCCCAGTCTGCGGGATTTTGTTACAGCAGCCTGAGCAAACCGCTATACCTCTGAATCCCCAAAATTAGGAACCAACTTGCAATTTCTTGCATTCTGCCTCACCATCCCTTCCATGAGGTGAATCCTGGCCAGCTGGGTGGTCATTGGGAGGAAGGGGAAAGAAGCGAGGGATAGAAGAGCTTCGGCCCATACCCGGCCACCATCTCTGCTGGGCGGTAGGACCAGAGGCACGGGTGGGAGGACAGGGCATCCTCGGCTTTACAAGGGGACAAATGGACCATTTCATGTCCCAAAACAGCCTCCCAGGAACACTCCCAAACGGAGCCATAAAAGAAGGTTCAGAACCAAGAACTTTTACAGGGGTTTTTATCTCTGTGTCTATTGAGTTTTATACCCCTTCAGGGTATCTGGGGGCTGAGGGCAGAGTGGAAAAAGGCCTTTCATTAAATGCAGGAAACAGCAACAGCCAGAAATGAGTGGGACTCTTCACCCTCTGGTTTCAAGGTAACTCTTGGAAAAACTCCCAAGTCCCTACCGGGCAGCAACCAGCAGGGCAAGGCTGTCTGGCAGTTGACGGCATTCTAAGTTTTAGCCTGAGATGCAGCCGTGGCCTGAAGCCCCCAGCCACGGCCAAGGCCTCCTGAGAGCCATGGGGGTAGGGGCTCTGGAGCAGACGGGCCACCAGCTACACGGGGTGCTGGAGCACCTCACCATTTGCCTCAGAAGGTCTCATCCTACCCTGGCATCTCACCAGCAGAGGATTAGCCTCTGTGCAAAAGACAGACTGTGGGCTCTGGGTTAGGGAGCAAGGCAGATCAGGGGGCAGAGCGAGAGAGAGAAAGAGAATCTTAAGC